CTAAGCAGGTGCTTTTTTCCCTTACTATACAATTCTGCTTTCATTCTTTAAACATTTTCCAAGGTTTTTGATTGGTAAATTTTTTGATTTAAGAATACTTTTTAAAATACCTATTTTGTGATGTTAACTATGTTAAATAGGGGACACAAATAAGATAGTATTTCTCTGACAAATTATTTATAATCGATTAAGAAGTTAAGACAAGTACATACTTCAGAATGATACAAAGTTGAATATAATTAGTGACGTAGCAGCAATATACATAACAATGTTAAACCTTTTCTGGGGAGAAAGAATAGAACCATTAATTCCAGACTTTGGTATACTGAAATAATTTTATATTTTCTTTTGGGATATCAACAACAAAAAAAATGATTGATTCTCTACAATTCTTTGGATTATCCATTCAAAATATAAATTGTACTATTATACAGTAAGAGATAACTGTATGACTCTACTTATGTGAGGTTCTTAGAATAGTCAAATTCATATAGACAGAAAGAACAACAGTAGTTGCCAGAGGTTGAGGAGAGAAAAGAAAGGTAAGTTATTATTTAAAGGGTATAGAGTTTCAGTTTTGCAAGATGAAGGGTTTTGGAGATGGATGGTGGTGATGGTTGTGAAAACACTAACAATGTACTTATTACCACTAACTCTACATGTAAAAATGGTTAAGTTTGTAAATTTTACTATGTATATTTTACTACAATAAAAATTCAGAAAAAAAATTATAAGATTGTACTGTATTCAGTACTAGAGAAAAAAGATTAATGAACTCACAGCTTAATATAGAAGAAAAAATATAATCAAATAACAAAGAGTCTCCTAGGTTCCTTATGTATTCTGTAGAAAGTGCTAGGATAGTGTGGATGCTGAGATAAGGGTTTGTCTAGCATTGTCTCCTGGGCTTGGAAAATGGGGTGGATAGGAAAGGGGGGAGCAGTATCTTCAAAAGCTTCATAGAAGAATTGACATTTGAGCTGAATTTAAAAGGTGAATGAGTTGGGAAGATATTGGGAAGGTATTCCAAGCAGAGGAACAGAAGTATTAAAGGGATCGAACATCTGTAAGTTGAGAAGAGTTTACTGGTTGAAATATAGGACCAGTGGAGGAGAGTGGCAGGAGATGATTTCAGTGAAATAGATAAATGGAGGCTATACTGTTTACCAAGTTTGGATTTCATTTTGAATGAGTGGCCTTAATCAGAAAGGGTCTTCAGGATCACTCATGAAGCTTTCAAAAATATATATCGCCAGATTTATCACTGAAGATAACTCACTGAAGATGTGGCTTAGTATGTCTAGAGTGGACCCTGGGTTTCTTCGTGTTGTCAAAGCTCACAATCATTCAGATGGACTTCCGGGAGCACTATGATAGGTAAGAAAACATTACTAAGGATTTTGTTTTTAGACATGTTAAAGTTCACAAACTCTGAGGGCCATATGATTTAGGGTGGGACCTAAAGTTTTTAAAAAGACAAGATAGAAGGTTCCTAAAGTAGGTGAGAGCTAATGACAGTCTGGATGAAGACAGTAGCAAGAGACATAGGATAAGAATAGATGTGAGAGGCATTCAGAAAGTCAAAATCATTGGACTTTGTGGTCAATGAGATGTGATATGTAAAAGAAATAAAAAACAGTGCTCATACGTCTATATCAGATAACCAGATGATTTGGATTTACTATCCATTAACTGGGATAGTAAATGTTGGCATAAATAAATGTCTGGCAGATTGTCAAAAGACTGAGTACTCAATAATGTCTGTTGAATGAATAAGAAAACCCAAATAATAAAGGTCATACAATTGTGGATGAATAAAAACGAGTTAAGTATTGGTTTATGGATGGACTTGTTGACTTTTCACAGATCTAGATCTGTTTGGGGAGTAGAGGGGGTAGGCTGTGAAAAAGATATGCAAAGCGGGGGGTGACATCAAAGGAAAAACCCACAAAGGTTGCAAAGTTTAATAAGCTCTGTACTGTAGAAACAGTGACTAGATCAGTTGGACTCTAGGATAGTGAGAAGAGACTATAAAGATACAGTGGCTCCATAATATGGTGTGTCTGACAGTCAGGCTGAAGAAGCTTTAATCAATCAAGTAGGTGAGGGTAAGTCATGAATTTTGGGCAGGGGTCTTCCAGTGATCTTTAGGAACATATTCTTTTTGGAAGGCTCTCATAGCAGCAGTGGGATAGGATAGGTTGGGACAGGAAGAAATCTAAAGGGAGAGAGATCAATTAGGAAGGCTACTATAAGGATAGAGGCAAAAAATAAGAAGAAGAAGAGCAATAAGGGTCACAGAAGGAATGGAAAGGCAGAAGCAGAATCAAAAGATATTCAAGAAAAATTAATATTCAAGATCATGTTCCAGTTTAGGAGGGTAGGAAGTTAGAACTGGATTCAGTTCTATGAGAAGAAATGATGTCAGTAAGGAGAGAGATTTCAGGCAGAGATCATGGATTCTGAGATGCCAGCAGGATATCCAGGTGAAGAAATACTTTGGGCACCTGGAAATGCAACGTGGCAGTTTAAAAGATAGACTGGAGCCAGAAATGTAAACTTGGGAACCATCTGGTATAAGTGATAAATGATGTGTGTGAGTGGATAGGATAGGCAAGGAAACTAAAAATGAGCCCAACAGAACAAACCATGGGGGTACACTTACCCTTGGCTGAGCTAGCAAAATCTTGGAAGTAGAAAGGGAAGCAGTCCTAGAGTGAGACAAGAAGAATCTGGAAAATACTCCTCCCCTCCCCTAAAGAAGGAAACAGAGCTTCAAAAAGGGAGAGTCAGTAAAGAGTCAAATACGGAGTTTGAGGAAGACAGGTATAAGCCAGGTGGTCTGTTGACAAGTGAGGAAGCCTTGGTGGGGGCAAAGCTGGGTTGACTGGGGTAAGTGGGGGAAGGTGTGGAGTAGGGCATGTGGACACTGAACTTCTCTACATCTTTTCTGATGCTGGAGTCAGGAGTATAGAGAGCTTGGGCTCCTGGGCTTATTGCCGTTTGGTTTTAATGAACTCAATTCTCAAGGGTGCAGACAGCATTTGGGACCCTGAAGTTTAGAACATGATTCAGAGACGTTTTGCCTGAGAGGGCTGGCGCTCAACATTTCCTGAAGGAAATAATCAAAGTCAAAATGTGTGCTAGAGCTGTGTGTTCCAATTAACTAGATATCACCACACAATTGAACAACTCTTTCTGTCATGGATTTGAAATGGTACTTTCATCGTAAACTAAATCCCCATATGGATTTGTGTCATGTTTGGACCCTCTGTTTATTCCATTCTGTACCAAACCTGCTGGTATTTAATTGAGATTGCCTTTAATTTAATAATTAATTTGAGAAGAACTGACACTTTTACAATATTCAGTCTACTAAAAAGAAGGGTACTTAAGCCTTCTTTTATGTGCCTCAGTGGAGGATCATTACTTTTTCATATAGTTCCAAGCTTGCCCTTTTCATTTTATAGCTATATATTACCTTTTTGAGTTGCTATTGTAAATGTATCATTTCTTGCATTGTGTGTGTGTATTTATGTGTGTAAATAGAAAAAATGTAGGTGTTTTCTCAAATGAACATTTAAAATGTAAAGGAAATAATCTAAAGTAAATTAAAGTTCTTAATAGCATCTGATCTTCATTGAGTTGATACACATGTAAAATAAATTTCACTTTGGATAATACTATCATGTAAAACAGGAAAAAAAATACAGTTAATCTTACATTAAAAAAATATTTCTGAGAGAGAGCGCATGCTCAAGCAGGGAAGAAGGGCAGAGAGAGAGAGGGAGAGGGAGAGGGAGAGGGAGAGGGAGAGAGCGAGAGCGAGGGAGAGGGAGAGGGAGAGGGAGAATTCCAAGCAGGCTCTAAACTCAGCATGTACCCCAACATGGGCAAAAATCCCATGACCCTGGGATCACAACCTGAGCCGAAATCAAGAGATGGATGCTCAACCCTCTGAGCCACCCAGGAGGCCAGGTTTATTTTACTTTTGTATGGCTAATGTTTCCTTATAGAAGACAAGCCAAAAAAAAAAAAAAAAGGAAAAAGAAAAAAGAAGAAGAAGACAAGCCCTATTTGCAGTTAAAATATGGTGTCTGTTCAGTCCCAGTACCCATAATGGGAGCTCCATTTTCCTCCCACTAACATATAAAGCTCTTGCTAGACTCTGGCTCTTTCCACAGAAAAGCAACTCTGCTCAGACCTGCTGCTTGAATCCATGACCATGACCATCAGCTCTTCCATGTCTCCTCCCTAAGTGCTGGTGGAAGAAGCTGAAGGAAGCTGCACCTATGGCACACCCTCTCCACTGCAATCATACTCACCACTGACAGAGGGGTTTTCACAGAACTGGTGTCCCCATAGGTCAGAACATGCTTTGTTTTTATCTCTGCCTTTATCCCAGTCCTTTGAAACTTTTCAACCTGATGAAAAACTGAAAACTATTTAACAAATCTAGACAAGGGGTCAGCAAGCTTTTGCTGTCAATAGCCGGGTAGGAAATGTTTCAGGCTTTTGGGCCACATGGCTTCTGGGACAACAACTTAACTCTGCTGTTGCAGTGTGAAAGCCATCACAGACAATAAGTCTATCTGGCTATGTTTAATAAAACTATTTGCAAAACAAGCACTGGGCTAGATTAGGCCCATAGATCTGTCCTATGGTTCACAGTTGCCAAATCCCTATATTAGCCCAATAAACTTCCAAACCATTCATTATTTAGATTGAAAAAAAAAAAAATCAAAAGTCTCCAAGGAACAGGATGCAAAGCACTGGAAGTTACCAAATGTAGAAAAATCACCAAAATGTCTTCTTCTCAATCTCTAAACAACAACTCTTAGCATAGCTAGTATGTGTCTGCTTTATGAAGCATGAGGGTGATCACAGTATGCAATAAACACACATATTACATTGCAGTGTAGTCACTGCTTTGCAGAGGAAGAGAAAGTTGAATGAAAACACCATTAAGATTAGTGATGGGAGTATTTGCTCCTACTTACCAATCCTGTACTGCATTGAAGGATTCTTCATTTGTGATGTCATACATCAAAATAAAGCCCATGGCCCCACGATAATAGGCTGTGGTGATAGTCCTGTATCTTTCCTGGCCTGCTGTGTCCTAAAAAATAAGAATAATAATCTCTCAAAAAAAAATGGCAATATATATTTTGGGAAGTGATTAATTATTCCAAAAACAGTCATAATAGAGAGTGTAAATTGTGCTTGCAATGTAAAACTATGTATCTTTTTAGTCTTGTTTTCCCTAATGATTTTCATATAGCAGCTCTACAATATTATGAAGAATTCTTTTTTTGGTAGAGATCTAGCTAAAAATACCATCTACATATGTTCACTCCTATTAAACAGAAGATCACTATAGAAAATAAAAGAAAAAGAAAGATTATACATATCAAAATCTGTAGCTTTTCATATAGTTTAAAACCCGAAGAGTTCATTAGCTCCATCATTATGTATTTATAATCTAAGTAGAAGCCACTGTGAGGGGAAAAAATAATTTTATGAAAAGTTCCCTGCTTTTAAAAGCATGCAGTTTAATCTCAGTTTATTCAACTGTAAAATGAGAATAAAAATATGCGCTTTCTGTGGATGTTTGAGTCAAGAGATCTGGTGTTCCTGTCTTCCTATTACATGCCTGGGGGAATGTGGAGAAGCCATGGAACCTCTCTGAAGTCTAGCATATTTGTTAGGATTGTGTGAAATAGTGTATGTGAAGTGCTTCAAACAGCACCTGGCATATGAATAGTGGTCAACAGATTCCAAGTACTGGCTGTCATTCTTGATGGTTGGGGAGTCAAAGCTAGGCCAAGATGGGAGACAGCAGCTGACAAATACAGGGGTTCGGGACCTTCAGAAGAGATGGCATGGTGTGGTGAAACCTGGGAATCAGGCAGACACATCAGTGAAGTCATCTGTATATGTCACGTATAGTTTAGTGTAGCTCAAGAAATTATTCCTCAATTCAACTGACTCTTGCCCCTTTGTCTTCACAGGATCTAGGCTATTGCTTACGACACTATGCTCCTTGGTTTTCCCCTTCACCACTTTCACTGGAGACTGGCTCTGAGTTCTCTTGCCTAGTACTCTATGTGCTGAGCACAGTGGACAGAAACGTTATCTTCCTTCTGACTTCAGTCTGGATCCTCTTTCTTCTCTTCTCCAGGGATGTCTCCTTTGTATATGGAGTACATCCCAGGTCCCCCTAATAGCCCTTGCAGGGAAAGCTGATGTGTTGGATGACACAAGAATAGGATCCTTATCATCAAAATGAAATGAACATCTCCTGGGTGTCACTACAGAGATGGGCTCGTGTTGAAGATGCTACTCCTCACCCACAGATGTTTCCGTTTGGACGCTTATACTCCACCATAGACTAACCCTGAGAAACATGACATTGCTTACAATTTCCTCCTGATCTGTGTGGTATATTTTATTTGGTCCCTGCCATTTCAGAGAAGGGTGATCAAAAAAGGCTGAGGAAATAAGCAAGTGATTCCAGGAGAACATGGGGGTATGAGGAAGAAGTTGAGAATTGGCCAAAGGTGTGACTTTTCATGAAACCAGGAACAAGGGGTTAAGGGGTAAGACAGGCCTGACTCGAAGATACTGATGAGATGATATTAGGAAAATAAGGTTACAAAGATATGATGAAAACAAATTATATGACCTAAAATAACAAAAATAGAGCAAAAGCTGTGGGAAATATATTTCTGAACGTATCATCATTGGCTGGAAACAAAAAGCCAAGTACAGACTTTCCTGCATGAAAATTTGACAATTCCTTGAATATAAAAAAGGTATAAATCAAATGAAAATGATAAATAATCAAATAAAGGGGGAAATATATTTTCATAGTACCAGAGAGACCAGAAGAACTATCTTTAATATGTTAGGTGGTACTAGAAATCATTAAGAAGAATGTTACATAATCTAATTTTAAAATTATTTATATATAGTCACAAAAATAGCTAATTAATCTGTAAACAGATGGGTTTTTGTGTGTGTGCTAACTCTATGACATTATTATGCCTGGGATAATATTATCTAAGCATAATAACACCACATAGTTGTATGCCTACATAACAGAAGTTCCCTGGACATTATTTAAATGTTTTATTGTACTTTGCTTAGTATTAAGTAAATATGAAAATGTAGATGTACAAGATAAACATGAATATCATCAGCTGCACATAATTGGGACAAATATACTAATTTATTAGGCAAAAAAAGCCAATCTTGAGCTTATGTGGATATTCTTTGATATTTGTTGGATTTAATTCAATTAACACCATATTCAACAGTGAAATAAAGAAGAAAGTTAGAGAATCAAATTCCCAAAGACTATGTTTACAAAGCATGATATAACCAGAGATTGTATAATATATTTTAGCTGTTGGGGGAACAAAACCTCTTATAATTATTTTAAAACATCTACTTCATCCTGGGTTCCTCTTTTCTAGAATATGTTATCTATAAAATTACTTGGTTTTTCTTACCGTGAAGTAACTTTAAATGGTTTTCTAGTCCATGGTACTGTAATATTATTGTGTAGTGACAGATAGTAGCTATGCTTGTAGCGAGCACAGCATCACTCATGGACTTGTTCAGTCACTACATTGTACACCTGAAAACATTGTGTGTCAACTATACTCCAAAAAATTTTTAAGTTAAAAAATGGGTACAAATTTAAAAAGATAAAAATCCTGAAAATAAAAAAAAAACATTTTAGCATTGAGTGGTCTTCTCACAGGCTGGGGACCCCATTCCTGCTGCCCTCTCTATATAACAGACAACTTTCCCCTGATTTTTCACTAGGAGAAAACAGCCAATACACCCGAGGTACTGCTAAAAGGCGACCTGGACCCTTGCTGTCAAGCAGGTCTTCAACAGGAACTGAATAATGGTGTGCTGGAAGACTATGACATCTCCTTCTTCTTGACCTCTTCCAGTGATGGCTTCCCTTTTCTTATGATGTTAATTTTATTTTGACAGTAAAGAAACTAGTTCTAGCATTATAAAGCATTCATTTCAGTCTGTGTGTTGTTAATCTTTGAGAGAGCAGAAATCAGGGCCGTATTATATTATGATTGATATGTTACAGAAAACCACACGGTTGGAGAGCCATTATCAAAATTTAAAAGTAGAGAGAGGGGGACAAAAACCAGCTTTTAAGAAAAAAAAAATAAAAGCTTTCAGGAAGCACTTAAGTCACAGCAAGAGTCATAACCTTCTACACCATTCTGATTTAAACCCAGAAACACAATCTAATTGGAGGTAGTTGTCACCGAAAAGCTCTTAGGAAGAGTAAGAAAGTGCACCAAATAGGGGAAGTGTATTAAAAAATCTTCCCAAATACAAAGAAAATTAAAAGAGTAAAACTAAGCCAATAAACCAGACACCAAGTTGGGCTTGATTGGTTTTGAGCACTGAAAACAGCTTCTGAATTACAAACTCATTAGCAGTTTCTTTCCCATGGTATCTGGATGAAAAAGAAGTCAGAAAAATACTTCATTACATTTGACATTTACTAATGATGACAGAAGGTTATATTTGAAAGAATGGAACATTTTATAATGTCAAGTGCCACTAATGTAATTAAATGTGAGCAGTCTCAGAAGGTAACTGGCTAAAATGGTCCCTCTTCTCAATTTGTTCAGAAAAATGGCTCCAAACCTTGGTTTTGCATTGTTCCTCTGTTTGGTTAATTCTGATAACTGGGGCTACCTGCTGATTTTCTAGAAATGTAGAGTTCCTATAATTGAAAAACACAACTGGAAACCTCTTACAGAGAAAGTGAGGGATAAAAATATGATTAAAAATGAAAACTTTCTTCCATAAAGGTTGGCTGTCACTTTCTTCTCTTTAAAGAAAAATAAAATGATTTTACTTGGCTTAAATATTGTGATTTCTCATTCATGTTTTTAAGAGGAATTTTTGGCTTTAATGATAGGTTTGATTAGCAAATACTTGAGTATATGTCAAGAAAAGAACTGCAAAATGTAAAACATTAGCAGCTTGATAAGTATTAGCTAGGAACATTTTCAGTTTGAATTTTGGCATTTTGGTCTCTGTTTTTGCCTTAAATTTTTTCCTGATGAAATATTCTATTTTTTTAACTGGATGGTTTGCATTCTCAAACACTTTTGACATTATGCAGAGATAACATGCAGCTTTAACATAAAGGAAATAGCCATCCATCGTAATTTGATTTTTGTTTTGGTAGTTTCTCTACTCTCAATTTGATTGAAAGGAAAATACAGTAAACATTAGTAAAGGAATATAACTTGAATGATAGCACCACAATTAAAATACATCTATTGAACTTCTAGACAGAGAAAATAGATTAAAGGATAGATAATCCAGATACATGATAAAGTAGGTAATTTTACATGCAAAGAAACTAAATCAAACACAACAATGTTAGTTGATCAACAAAAGTAATTTAATTAAACTAAAGGATTTGATATGTGATAACCCAAACAGGTTGTCAACAGAAATGAAAGATGAGGATCCTGCAACATTAAGACATAAGACACACTTTACTAAATTTCCAAATAGACACAAAGATGTGAAATGATATAGTCAGTAAGCATCCAAACAAGTCATAATCTCTTGCAGGAATTATTCTAAAGTATCAAATGAAGATTAAACTATGCTTAATATAGTTTAATAATACTGCAGATTGACTGACTCATTGATTCATTTGTCCATTCATTCAATAAACATTTCGTGAACATGTATTACAGTTAGGAACTGTGATTGAGTTATATTAGATGTATTCTATATACTAGAGACACATTTCTGTAGATTTTAAAATGCTACATATTAAAAACATTTCATTAATCAGAATATCATATTCCCTATCATATTCCCATGTCTACAAAATATTAGATAAAATCATGAAATACCACTTCTAAAGAACTAGACAGGCTAGCAATTCAAAACTGTAAATAAGACCACCTACTCAGCAGTGAGGTTCTGTCAGTTCATAGTCACTGTCTGAATTGTATTGCATTCTCTCCAAAAGATATGTTGAAGTCCTAACCCCCAGAATCTTGTGAATCTGACTTTATTTGGAAACAGGGACTTTGTAGGTGTAAT